GCAGGCTGGGAAGTTGTGCAATTAAAAAAATGGGTTTACCTCCCCCCTGCCAGCATTTTCTGAAAAGTAGTATTTAATATAGTGTTCCCTTTGGGGAACATTGATCAACTGATGTTTTGGGAGATTAAACTCATTTCATCAAGAGGGGACAAGACTGACCATGAAGGAGAACATTTTACTTAGTTAAGCTGTGAGTCAGGCTTTTTGAAAAGTAGATTATTATGGTGCGCATTTATATGTTAATCGTGGCAGGGTGACTGCTGACACATGGAGAAGTTCTGAGTCTTTTGGTACTGTGAGACCCTTTAGTTTAACATTTGAGTGGCTCATGATCATTTAAAAATTGAAGGCTTGTCTACGGCCATGCCACCCTGAACGATCTCGTCTGATCTTGGCCACTAAATAGGGTTGGGCCTGGTTAGTACTTGGATAGGAGACCACCTAGGGAGACCAGGTGCTGTACGCATAAAAACCAAACCAACCCAAACCAAACCAAACCAAACCTGAAGGCTTGAAATTTCATCTTTTGACTTCTAATTTCCTCTCTTAAAAGTTAAATGGTACTTTAGTGCAATAGAGAAACTGCTTTTATATTCAGGTCTTTCGCTTACTAGTTTTGTGACTTTGGGTAAGCTATCTAAATCTCTCTGAATCACAGTTTGCTTCACTGCAAGATAAAAGAGATATTAACCTTGCCACAGTTGTCCTTTAGGCTAAGTGAGATTGTATCTATACAGTGATGGCTCAATTATTATTCCATAGAGATGTAACAGTCATAATAATAGGGATGGTAATGACCTTTCATAGAAATCCTAAGTCTCACTTAAGTGTACTGCAAAAATAAGGAATAGAGAAGTAGAAAGTTCTTGATTATCTAGTCCTGGTAATTAAGGTCCCTAACATGAATTCTGCTTTTGCAATTTAAACTTAAAAGTACTCTACATTCCTTTTCTCCTTGAAATCCTGTAATGTAAGTAGGACATGTGTCTGTTCTTAGTAACTTAAAAAAAAATTAATACTCCATTTAGAATGGAGTAATATGGCATAGGTTAGTGATCTTCCTACTTTCAGAGCAATTCCCGTTCCTTTCCTTCCAAAACTGTTAACTTTCCAAAACAAGGAAGTTCAAGTGTAAGTATATGTGTGGAATGGTTTTCCTCTGACTTTATTGAGATATTATTGACATATAACATGTGTAAGTTTAAGCTCTGTAACATGATGATTACATATATGTATATATATGAGGATATACATATAACAAAATGGTTACCACAATAGGGTAGTTAACACCTCTACTCCCTCACATAATTACCCTTCTTTTTGTGGCGATAACTTTTAAAATTTACTTTCCTATATAGTATTGTTAATTATAGTCACCGTGTTGTGCATTAGAACTATTCATCTTAAAGCTGGAAGCTTCTACCGTTTGACCAATTTCTTCTCGTTTCTCTCACTCCCCACCCCTGGCAACCATCGTTTTACTCTATTTCTTTGAGTTTGGCTTTTTTAGATTCCACATATGAGATCATACAATATGAAACTTTTTGGATTTATTTTACTCAGCACAATGCCCCCAAGGTCCATCCATGTTGACTCAAATGGCAGGATTTCCTTCCTTTTATGGCCGAATAATATTCCTCTGTGTGTGTGTGTGTGTGTGTGTGTGTGTGTGTGTGTGTCTCACATTTTCTTTGTCCATTCATCTGTCAGTAGATACTTAGGTTATTTCCATGTCTTGGCTGCTGTGAATAACGCTGCAGTGAACATGGGGGTGCAGATGGCTCTTCAAGATAGTGATTTCATTTCCTTTGGCTATATATCCCAAATTAAGATTGCTGGATCATTTGATACTTTTTTAAATTTTTTATTTTTGAATTTTTGAAGAACCTCCATCTTGTTTTCCATAGTGGCCGCACCATTTTACATTCCCACCAACAGTGCACGAGGGTTCCCTTTTCTCCACATCCTCACCAACACTTGGCTCTTGTCTTTTTGATAATGGCCATTCTAACAGATCGAAGTGATACTGTGTTTTTGATTTGCATTTTCCTGATGATTTGAGGTGTTGAGCAGCTTTCATGTACCTCTTGGCCATTTGGATGTCTTCTTTGGAAAAATGTCGATTCAAGTCCTTTTGTCATTTTTTTAATCGTATCGGTGGGGGTTTTTTTTTGTTTTGTTTTCGTTTTGTTTTTGCGGTTGAGTTATATGAGTTCCTTATATATTTTGGATATTAACCTCTCGTCGGATAGCTGGTTCACAGATATTTCCTGCTGTCCCGTGGGTCGCCTTTTTGTTGAGCTGATTGTTTCTTTTGCTGTGCTTTCTAGTTTGGTGTAGACCCACTCGTTTAATTGCGCTTTCGTTGCTTATGCATTTGGTGTCATATCCAAAAACCTGTTGCCAAGACCAACATCAAGGAGCTTTTCCCCTTTCTTTTCCTAGAGTTGCTTTATGGTTTTGGGTCTTCATGAGGAACGTTTAGATAAAAAAAATTAATCTTTAATTAATGGCCTGTTCAGCCCTCCCAGCCCTTTCCCTTTTTGATTAAGTCCAGTCATGTGATTCTCAGGGAGCATAAGGTTTCTTCTTTCAAAGTTGTGCATCCTGAAGGAATATAAACCAATTTTAATATAGTGAAAATCACTACCAGAAATTTGGTAATATGTTAGGACAAATCCTGTTTCTTAACGATAAAGTATTATTAAAGGATAGGAAGTTTATAAGGTTGTTTTATAAGGTCTAAGGGACAAACATTTAATATTTATTTTACAAATACTTTGTTATTCTTAGATGCTTATTTCAGTGGTTCTTGCTTAAAATCTAGTAAGATAAAACATCGACCGTAGATATTTGAATCCTGGCATGTTCAGTACGAGTTTTTTCATGTTTTATATAAGCTAATACAATAAAAGAAAATTGGATGTAAATTTTAAAAAACATTCGAAGTAAAAATGATGTATTAAAAAATAATTTGACTGGAATCGTATCTGGAATTGTACTCTATTTTTGAAAACCATTCTATTTTATTAGGAAGAGATAATGAGTAGACCACACAGGTTTTGGTGTAGACTAGAGGAACTTCTCTCCTTATGGATTTCCCTGTTGTCATTGTCGTCGTTGTCATCATCATCATCATGAAGATAACTACATTATAGAAAGTCGTAAGAGAAAAGACAGATCTCTCCCATTCAGTCCACCAGTTAACAAAAGATTTACATTTTGGTATATTCTTCAGTCTTATATTCTGTGTGTACATGTAAGCACACACAGTTATTGCACTGTAGATAAAAATGTTTTCCCTTTTCACTTCACGTTGTAAATAGTTATGACACCGGTATTTAATCTTTATTATCCTCATTTTCTACAACCTTTTATTGGGGAAAATTTTAAACTTTTGTAAGAGTGGAGAGGGGAGTGTAATAACCCCCGTCAGTCAGCTTCAACAACCATCATTTCCCAGTCTTATATGGTCCTTCCTCCCAGTGTTTGGTTTGATTTGCTGGAGAATTAAATATACCCCAGACGTTAATTACCATGATTTTTAATTATTTTGTAGTATTCAGAATTTAGTTCATCATTCTTTTGGGCATTTCACATCGTTTCTAATTTTTTGTTATTAAAATAATACTTTTAATACCTGTGCACAAATGAACAGAATGATGACCATCTTTGTATATAAATCTTTAGATGTTTCTAATTATTTTCTTCAGCTATAGCTGAAATCGTAATCACTAATTTAACAGATAGGAACCGTTAAAGATAATCTTTTTGTAATTATAAAATACACTTTAATTGTGGACATTGTGAGAAATAAATTTAAAAAATAGAGAATAAAAATGACCTCAGATTGCTTTCTAAGGAATCCCTATGTTTGTATTGCTCTAATACCGTAGACTGGGTGGCTTGTAAACAATAGAAATTTATTTCTTGTAGTTCCGGCTGAAGGCTGCAAAGTCCAAGATCATGACACTTGCAGATTTTGTGTCATGGTTGGTGAGGACCCACTTCCTGGGAACATAGATTTGGCATCGTGCTGTGTCCCCACGTGGTAGACAAGGCTGGAGAGCTCTGGGGTCTTTTTTATGAGAACACGGATCCCATTCATGCGGGTTCCACAAAGGCCTCACCTCTTCCCACCGTCATCTTTGGGGGTGAGGATTCCAGTATATGAATTTTGAGGATACACAGAAATTCAGATCATAGCACCCTGCATCCATCTATCAGCGTTTCTTTAGTTCTCGGTTGGGGGTGGGCGTGGTGTCCGTGGTTCTCAGGGGCTCTGCCCAGAAGAGGGCGAGCCTACTTGCAGTTTGGCTGATGTATAAGGTATAAGGCTTCACACTTAATGAGTGCTTAAAAATAGCAGCATTCCAAGTACTCATCAGGAAGTAGCATCTAAAACATATTGTCCATGACTTTGCTTGGTATACCGTGGATTGTTCTGCTAGTTAAAATCATTTCATATCATCCTGCCCTTAAATCAACAGACGGCTTGTCAGTGTTCCTGAACTCTGTCCCACTGCTTCCTCTGACGAATTGTTTTTACTGAACTAAGAGTTCATGTGAGGCTGACCGCCGCTGGTCTGTCTCATACGGTGCGTGGTGAGAAACAGCCCTGAGAAACTCGCTTCTTTACCGTGCGAAGGTTCCCAGGAGCAGTTGCGGTGCTTTATATTCTCTCTCTACTGGCCACTTGCAAACTTAAAGAGAAGAAAACTTGTTGAGAAAACCAGAAACGCAAGTGCGAATTGTTTCTTCATCTTGGGCTTGGTGGCTCTCAGGCGACTGATACAAAATAACTCACTGTCTGCGTGGGAAAAAAACAGTCAACTTGAGCGTTAACAAAACTTTAGAGCTGAGCCAAGTTGATTTGGTCCCGCCTTTTGTTATGAACAGGTAAATAAAAATAAGTGTGACAGAGATCGAGACTTTATAATTAAGGACACACTACATCAGTGTTTCGTGCTTTTAAAACTTGCCTTTTCCTTCTCTTTCAGTTCCTGGAATAGAGGGTGGTGCTTTAACGGACACGAGCCTCACAGATTCCTATTTCAGCACCAGCTTTATTGGAGTCAACGGATTCGGAAGTCCTGTAGAAACGAAGTATCCCTTGATGCAGGTATCTTCAGTACGAGTTGCTGTGGCAGAGATGGAGGACATCTAGAGTCTTGATTTATCCCTAAGTTTGTTGATTGGGATGTGGGATTTTAGGGGACGATGAGGCAGGTCGGATATAGGTGAGCCATCCTCTTGCAGTGTTGGGGTCAGAGTGAGCTTTCACGGGAGAGCTCGGGGGTAGAATGACAGTGGAGCATGCAGAGAGAGGACAGAGACAGCAAGACACACGTTTTCCCCTCTGTGCGTTTTGTGGGTGTGGTCTAGCCTCTCAGGATAGACCACAGAGGCTATGACACATGTTAGGAAAGCATGGGGCATGTGTAGAGAACAGAGGATGGCCTAGTTTTATAGAATCTATAAGGTGCATGAAAGCTAATATGCAATATGCATTGGCAGAAGATACAGGGGAGCATTTATTGACTTAGTCACTTTACATCTTCTTGGATGGATGTTGGAATGAATATTTTATGAACAAGGAAACTTAGTAGATAACGCGTCTTGCCCAGGGTAATAAGTTGTAATAAGTGCATTTCAGAATAGGTCTGCAACTTTGGTTTTAAATACGTGGCTAGTGAGTAAAATTTTCATTTGATGTGCTCTGCAGAGTATTTAGCAGTTTCTGGCGTACATTATTGTACCCCAGGCAGCAGTGGTTAGAGTGTCAGTAATATGACAGATGGCCAGGAGGGCGGAAACAAAGGCCAGTTTCAGTTGGCAGAACATCCTTGATTCTGTGCACCTTAGTGATGTTATGTGTGTGTATTTCATTTTTCAGAGAATGACTAATAGTAGCAGTTCCCCAAGCCTTCTAAATGACAGTGCCAAGCCATATGCAGGCCATGGTAAGACTTGGTTCCTTTCTCTCTTTTATATGTATAGTTTTGACTCTAAAAACAATTTCTACGTTTTGGAAATTTTGACAATTATGAATAGATATAAGGAAGAAAATAAAAATCATCTATTATTTCACACTCAGAGATAAACATTAAGATTTAGATTCCTCACATGTACATACTATCTAGTAATATTTAATTAAGAATATACATAGTAATAACAAATTCTAGTAAATATACTTTTAAATATCCCGAGTTTCTCAATCACTATAAAATTCTCTTCTTTATTTTCATAATTTACTTAAATATTTTTGTTTCTGTTTTTTTTTCTTTTAAACAATTATATTCCAGTCTTCGATTATATGTGTGAATCTGCATTCATATGTTGAGTGAATTCCTTTAGAAACATTCTTAGATATGGAATTATTATTTCAAAGATTCTGGACATTTTTAAGGCTTTTGATACAGAATTTTCAGGTATCTTTCTATAACCTATTTTAAAAATAAATGTTCAAGAATGATTTTTAAAAAATATATAATTGAGTGTTAACACTGCATTAGTAAAACATTAACAGTTATTAATAATGGCAAGAATAAGATTGTGTATGTGGATTATTTCCTGTGGTAGACTTTTTCGTTTGTGTATCAGATCTCTATCACCTGTTGGAAATTTCAGCCTGTGTTTCTTTTGCTGTAGAAAAAAATAGCAACATTTTAATGTTGATTAAAATTATTAGAGACTAACTTGTAACATTATAATAGTTTTAGCATTCCTAAAGTGTTTACATGCTGACTTTAAGACTATCAGAAGTAGCATAAAGAATGAATAATACTAACTTGTGTTAAGTGCCTTGAGTGTATAAATTGCTTAAAAATATCTTATATTTTGCTATTTTATTAGCTTCTTTGTCTTTGCATTATTAGTTAAATTAATGTTAATTATAATGAAGGAGTATACTGTGAAAGTTCAGGCAGAAGAAGCCAAAGCAGTCAGGCAGCGGTCTGTATGCAGTGCATGAAGAGATGACGATTTCTTTAAGTGAGAACGTTTATTGTATTTTTTTAGGATTTCACAGATAATTTAATGAGAAACGAGATTAACTAAAACTCTGAAATGAAGATAAAATATTTCAGTATATATCATGCACACCTTTATAGAAACTCTTCTGATTCGTTAAATGAGAAAGGATTTAGAGTTATACTTTGGTTTGTAGCTTCTAGCCACAGAGTAATAGAACTTTGAACCTGTAAAATCTTTGGATTTCATGTTTGTATTTTAAAACTTAATTTTCTTTTTTAAGAAGAATATCAGATATCTGGTGATAAACTTAAAAATACAGACTGTTCTGTAGCGTAGATGGTTTTGCCGAAGTGTTGAAATCCAGGTCCGAGCACTTGAAGTGTGTCTGACTGCTCCCCCTTCCCCTTATTTTTCTCATGATCGCTAAACATTTGCTGCAGGCAGACTTACTTCCCTCATAAACATTCTTAGTAACATGCTTGAGTCTTTTTTTTTTTTTAATCTCATTTTTCTTTTAGTTTTAGGCTAAACATTCAATATTAAATTTGTGAGTTCCCGGACTTACTTGTATGGAAACTTATTTAACTTACCTTCCAGATCCTCTGACTTCTCCTGCTTCATCCTTGTTTAATGACTTTGGTGCCCTCAACATCTCTCAGAGAAGAAAGGTAGGTGAGATTAAATGACGTGTAGAGGTGATAGTTGGTCATTGCCTAGATAATGAACGGTCAATAGTCCTTTAAGTGCGGGGAGGGCTTTTTAATGGACCGTAATGTTTTTTGGCCTTTTGTTTACCCATTTCTCTCTCATATAGAATTTTATTAGATCTCTGTGCATGGAATAGAGACATTTTATGTAAAGGGATGAAATCCTTCTGCTTATTTTTGCTCATTTTCTTTATCTTAATGTATTCTGTTTTTAAGGTAAAATCTCATTTAGTGTCGTAGTTGCCGTTGATGTGCCCCATTGTAGGTATACTGATCACGTTTTTATTTTCTGACCGCTTTGCTTAAATTTCAAGATTTCTCCCCTAATTTAAACTCCTCATTACAAGGCAAACTTAAATCTTCAACTTTTCATAATTGGCCCAACTATTTAAAAAGTTTAAAATCTCTTCATATTAGAAATTTGATTTTGTTTGGAATTTACGTGACAGACCGCGTAGATTTTTGAGATGTGTTATAGGGACTGGGTCTGTGACAAGGGGAAAGGAACTTTGTTACAGTTTGATGCTTTGAGTCTTAACGAGAATTATGTTAATGACAATAATATACGTGTGTGTGTGTGTGTGTATGTGTGCATGTGCATATATTGTTTAGTTTTTTAAATTTTTTCGTTAGGATCAGTAGCAGCAAAAGATGTTCAGGAGAGTGTGAATCTTGGTGGAAATTACTATAAATTTATAACTTTAATTCAGCTCCCTAAGTAATAGAAGAAAAGACCCAAAAGCAAAGAATATTACTTTTAGAAAAGTAATATTCAGATGCTTTTAGGATGTATCTTCAGAGGGTAGTATAAAATGAAATTCCAGAAGACTGGATGTTTTCAAGGCAGAAACATTTGTGGGGTCAGTACTTAGTGCTCTATCCATTTTGACACAGATGAGAACAAGGAGGTAATTATGAATTACGTTTAGGCAACAAGAATGGATAGACTAAAATATATGGGTTCGATTTTATAGACTTCCTTATAGGCTCTCACCAAGAACACGTGTCCTCTTGCTTTATAAATCTCCTAAGTCGGAATATGTAGCTTCCAGATCCATATAGTATAATTGGAATAGAACACAAGCAGATCCATTGGCAGGAGTGAGAAATGACGATAGCCATGGAAGGAAACAGTACAATACTGAAAAGCAGGTACAGCCTAGAAGTCAAGTTATCTGGAGCTGTTTAGTGTGCGGGAAAATAGAAAGCCCTTAAGAGGCCTTAGGGATCCCTCTAATGGCTTTTTCACGTCCTTAAATTAATAATCGTTTAACTGCGATAAGTAGTCGTTCTGATGTATGAACAGAAGGTAAAACTGGAGTTGCAAATAAATACTTAAAAGTATTCCTATATGAGGGTTTGGTGGCCTACATCTTAAAGTCGAAATAAATGATTGAGAGCTACTGACATTAATTTTGAGAAAATAGTAAAAATCCCTGTAGACTGGCAGAGGGAAGATATAGGTCCCATTCTTTTAAAATTAATTTTAGTAAAGGAAAATAAAAGGAAATGTTACTACAAAGGTGATCTCAATATTTGGAGAAATATTAGAGTACCTCCTGATGGAATCAGATTAATATAGTGAATTTTTGAGGTTCTGGGTCTCTAGCTTTGTGACCTTAGGCTGACTTTCTAGGCTATAGTTGTCATATCTGTGAAATGATGAGCGTGGCCTGGATGATTGCTGTTGTGTCTTCTCTAAAACTCGTCTGTCTACCGAAAGGACCTATGTGTCCGTCTCAACTAGAAATTTGGGGTTCACATCGTGTATCTTTGTAGGACTGTATTTTCTTGCCATTTACATTTCAAGTAATATGTAGGGATGTAGAGTTCTTTTTCCAATAGTGGGCTATATTGTCAGGAATCTGTCAGGGTACAGGTTGCATATGTTTTAAAATCGTTAATGGTTGAGTGGAAAAAGTTTAAAATCTCTTTATACTAGAAATACTGTTGGCATAAGAATATTGCATGCTACGCATTGTGAACTGAAGGCATATGGACACTGTCTATTTTTATTTTGTTGTAATTCATAATATCTGTTTAATGATGTAATTTTAGTGGAAGTTAACTCAAATTTATTTAAACATTTAATTATAATTCCACGTTGATCTAAGCAGGCTGTCGCAATTACTGGGTGACATTTTATTTCATAATGATATCAGAGAATAAGGTAGTTAGGCCATACTTCTATTTCAGAGCTAGTTAGGGAAGTCATTTTCTGCAAATCTCAGTTAGACCTATCCCTAGGCCAGCTATGGTGCTTTTTGCTTGTGGATGTGTGAATTATTGGTATCAGATCAGCCATGTATTTTTACTGTAGGTAGTCTTACTTGTGCTATGTGAAGAATTTAAGAAGAATGGACTTTTTTCCCGTTTTTCTCAAATTCTGTTGAAGAGGCAATATATGATGAACCTACTAGAGAACGTTTACGCAGCAGCATATTAATTAGTACCAATTTAAATATCTGATGATTGCTGAATAGCAGAGAATTTTCTAGGTCCAGAAGAGTTTACGGAGAGAAGGTGTTTTGAGTGGGGTTTTTGAAGGTGAATATGGAGAAGCAAAGATACTTAAGCTTGATTACAAGTGGAGAGTTAGGATCTTCAGTAAATTTTTACATTTTCTTCTTTCCATCATAGATAAGCTAAGAAACTATGGCTGGGGCTGTGTATCTATAGAGACTCGTTGAAGTAAAATGTAGGATATAAAAAACTGTACAAAGAGGTTAATTGCCATTTTTCTGGGCTAATTTATTGTTAAAACTGTGAAAAACTTCCTGAAGAATTGCATACGGAGAATACATACCTCGGGGCACCGCTACGCAGCGTGCGTCAGGACCCATGCTAGTCTGTGAGTTGTTTGTCACCTGTCTGTAGGGAGCTAGAAGTTAAAACACTGAAAGTAAATGGTTAGGAACTTCCGTAGCAGTTTGATAATACTGCAGCATCCAAATACGGGATCATTTTTTTAGCAGTTTTTATTTTGCAAGAGTATAGAACCATGATATGTAAGGAAGTTTTAAAAGAAGTCATCTTTCATAATTGATGTTTGAGAAGCACTGATTTTTCACATTAGGGATACCTATTTTATAGATAGAAGTATAACCATTACTTGAAAATTATGTAATTATATTGGCCAAGTGTGGTGTTGGAAGAAATTGAATTATGGCTATATACTCTGGGGGGAATTACCCGCCCCCCCCTGCCCCCCACACACACTGGAGGTGGAGTTTTGTTGAAAATCAGTGCATGTCTTAGAGGTCAATACATGAGGAAATCTTAATAGCAAGATAGATACGGTGGACTGTGATGACAGTAAAAGGCTTGAGAGTCACTGTGATTCACAGATGTGACCCAGTCTGCAGTGAAGATTTTGATGATAAATCCTTTGGGAGTAAAGTAACTTTTTAACGAAGTTCGATGTCAAAATACAGATATTCATAAATGAAGTGATTCAGTACTGTGACATCTTGCTCTGAGTATTCTTGCTAAGTTGTGAGTTTTTGTGCAGGGCAGCCCCAGATGATGGAGACAAATTCTGGGCAGAGTTTCAAAATTTATGTCTGGCATTCTCGGCTTCTGCTTTTATGTCTGTCTTGGCTCTTTTTGCTCTTTTTTAGTCATGTAGTCATTATCCTATTCAGTTTTCCCTCCTACCTCCATTAAAGCAAAAGCAAGGCTTTGGCGCCTGTTTTTACATTTCTTATTCTAGTTGTACTTTAGGATGCTATTTCCATCAATATACAGCTTTACCTGGACATTGGCATTTTATTTCTAATAGTCGGATAACAGATTTTCACTTTTGTAGAATTTTTAGGTTTTAATAACAAGTTAAATTCTTTGGACTTAGGAGACACAGATTTCTGAACTATCATGTTTATTTCTTTCGTTTATTTCAAAGCTTTTTGTTAGGACAAGGAAGTGGGTCAGAAGGGGTTGGCTTATCTGCCGATGGCTTGTTTGTGAGATTTTTCAGTGGTGGACGCCCTGTTCTGGATGGTTCTGCGTGAGGCAGAAGTTCACTAGCAGTACTTCCTCTCAGCTTGGAACCTGCTTCCCATCGCTCTCTGTCTTAAGAGCACTCATCCCTCTCTCTGCCATCCGTATTACAAATTAATACGGATGTAGTGGTGTGTGTTTTCTGATTCATTTGGCTTTTAAAATTTTTCTTGTAGCATTTCCGTTCTAATGTCTTCAAAAGATGACTTACGTTATTTCTACCCTAAGGAACAAAATATGGACTACATAACAAACTGGAGACTATGGTAGAGTTCTTTTAGGGAGAAAGCTGAAGTGAATTTGGAGAAATTGAAAGGATGATGCGTAGACAGTTTGGAATGTAAATCCTTAATCCTTCTGGATTAGGTCCGTTTCAGAACTTTGAACCAAGTACTGATCTCAGGAAAAATAAAAGATGAGGGGAAAATGGAGAAGATACTGAAAAATAACTGACCTCTAAATGGAAATTGCAGTCTAAAACTTTACCTGTAAACAACCATCGTTTTTAAATTTTTTACATGTGTTCTCAAATATTGTTTTGCTTAGTATTTAGATTTCCAGGTCAGCCACGAGTTGCTTTTACAACCATGTGTCGCGCAGCAGTGTCTCTATGCAAATTTTTGTTCAGACTTCCATGCTAACGCCCTCAGACCTGCTCTTCTAGGTTCTCTGCTAAACCGCCGCTCGCCTCCACGTGCCACGTGGTGGGAACGCGCACCCTCCCGACTTGAGCTACATGTTGGGGCAGTTTGAGTTTTGGAGACATAAACAGATCCCTTGTGGAAGTTGCTAGAGTCGTTGGAGTTCAGCTTCGTATAGGCATGGAGCTTGCTCAGAGCCTCTTGGCGAGTGTTTATTTCTCTCAAAGAACAATCGGTGGGGACAGTAACGACCCAGTAGCGTTGCCCCAGTAGCGTTGCGTAATGGTTAAGGGGCTCAGGGTCTGGAGCTGAATGCCAGGC